CACCAGAAGGGCGGCCGGGAGTGAGTTACTACTCTCGTCGGACGGAGCACCTCGTATAATTATGATAGAACTTCACTTAAGGTAAATTCGTTTAATCATTAATTTTACTTCGTGCTTCGTCCTCTAGATTAGTAACTGGAACTTATTAAACACATGTAGATATTGACAGCAAGAACAGGAAATATCAAAGTACCGTTTAAGGAGGGTAAGACTACTCTGTATTTATTTGCCATCTAAGATATGATAAATACATATACATGCTGGATATTATTTGTACTATATATTACAAATTAAATAACTTACTATTGTATAGGCATATTACAAAGAGGAATTTTTTTTTGAATGAACCTATCTGATTATAAAGTCGAAAATGAAACATTTTCGCCACATAAAAATTACGTTCTAATGATAGGTAAAAGTACCATTACAAGTAGCCATATAAGAGGAGAAAGATTATGTATTAATTAAATAATACAATGTACTCAATGAATGAAAGGGTCGTTTCGACCGTGGAAGGATCACGCTCTCACAGAATACCAGCGTAAGGCTTAGCACGCACTGCGATTAAACGCACGCGTTTAACCGCACGTCTGCAACTGCAAAAAAAAATTTAACACATAGCATTCTATACAAGCGCACTCATTAGCGACTTTTTTCAGTGACTGATTTTAAAAACGTAACTTGCTACATTTGGATCGCGGTTTGTAAGCGCGCGATTTTTATGTGTCCCATAGTAATAGTATGGCGGCACACGCGCAGCAGTTAACCGCGTTCGGTTTTTTATTCCGTGATTCAGTCTCAACTAGGCGAACGCAGAAGACAGTCTATATTTGCGATGCTAATCTAAAAAGCTTATTTCATGTCGTCCGACTCAGAAAAAATGTCTTTAGACTACGATAATGTGTCTAAAACATTATTATTGAAGTGGAAAAAAGGCCGGCATTATATGACAAATTGATGAATCAATACAGAAACAGAAATAAATTTTGTGCATGTACCCAGTTTTTATGGCGGCGACGTTGTTTACGTTTTCTATTTCTTAATTTAGAAAACACACGCTACACCCCAGCAATCCATGGTGGTACTGAACTAAAATTAAGCAAAACGCCAGCCGCGTGCGTGGTTGTATGCGGTTTTGCGTTTTCAGCTATTAGTAAACCGCGCGGGTTTAGTCGCAGTGCGTGCTAAGCCTAAAATATCATCTTAACACTGCTGTGTTTCATATGATGAGTGTAGAGAACCGGAGACCCTTTTTACTGAAAAAAGGCATTCCATCTTAGTCTCCACGGGTGACAACGCATCTGCATTTTGATTCTTTATTGAGGATAGATGTAGATGTCCATAGACCCATAGGTCACAGCAACCACTTACCACCAGGTAGACTGTGTGCTAAAAAATACTCAACATTGTACTATTTCATAAAAGATTTCATTAATTACGGGTGACATTGGCGGACGGTAACTTATCATCGTTATTATATTCCTATTTAAAATGTGCAAAAATTTGTGAAAGTACTACTCGATCTGGCCGTCTTACTAATCAGCGTTCAGCCTGGAGATACTGTTGCGCGTTGAGGCGGCGTGTTGCGGTACTATGTGCCGCAAATATAGAAACATATCAAAACCTAAATATTTTAGTGTATTTCTGATAGAAATTTAGCATAATCATAGCATTTGCGTAGGGGCTGGCCTGTATGGTTTCTTAAACCTCAAGAATAAGGCATTATGTTGAAGAAACTGGAAGATTTTTTCCAGATATGTATTTAGAGTTTGAGCTGTACTAATTATGGATTTTTCATCGAGATTAAATATGACTAGTTTGGGTTGATTTGTTTAAATACTAGAGATATTAATTAGATCGGGAATTTTATAATAAGTACCCATTTCAAATTGAAAAGTTTAGGAGCAAAGCAGACTATTTCTAAAGTTAACAATTTGTTAAAATAGACAATTAAGGCTGAGTTGACCGCATAAGTACAACTGCAATGGCGTTGGCTTTGTCTGATATAATTTTTCTAATCATTATCAGTTTCACCGAAAATGGAGGAAATACGTGGGAGAAATAGTATGGGGGAAAGTCTACCTGATGGTGACGGCATTTATAGCACAAAGCGCACTTTTTATTTCAAAAACTGTCGAAAAGATCAATCTGTGGTACACAAAGTTTATGTATAATTTTTTAAAAGGCCAACTTTGTTAGTGCCTATTAATTATATGGGTGTATTCTTGGCGATTCGGAGTTTCCTACTTTATTATTAATCTTACAAATCTTTTGCAACACATGATCAAAATATGTTGCTAGCAGCCCTAAAATAACTTAATATGCATGAGACATTCTTCTTTATACAACTTTATACTACTTAAGATCACATGGGGCTCCCCAGCTCCTAGATGAGGCGTCGTTAAATCTTTCACTGTAATAATTAATGCTCTAATATCGCGGATCGAGTTATCTACTGCCGTCACCACCAGTGAAAGTCAAAAGAATTGAAGAGTCAAAAGAATTATCATATTTTTATGTAATCGTCATGAACTCATAAGTAAAAAGATTTGTTACAAAGTGTACTATATTTTCTCTCAGGACACGCTGAAACCAACAACCCGACAGGCTCCCCGATTTGATATATTTTACACCTTTTATTTATTACATTCATTGTTGAACCCGGAAAATTTGTAATGCTAATGACCTTTTTTAAAAATCGATTTTGAAAACAAGAAAAGTTAATAGTTTGTATGTAACAATATTATTTTCTTTACGCTTATGGTAATTTCGATGTACGAGATACCAGTCATCCAGGTATACGTTGGACATGTAACCGGCTGTCCTTAGTATCTTAGTTACGGGTTTTATTATTTTGTTAATTTATACAGGTATGAAAAAACCGAAGATGATTTCGAAAATATTAAACATTTTTATTGGTAAAAAAAAATGTCTTTAATATAACATCGAGGGCTCCGAGCGCAGCGGCCCTGCATCGAACCGCAGCGCAGAGGTCTGCGCGCTTGAATCCTACACGGAACTAGTATTTTGCATGGCCCACAAGTTTTCTGGGACCGGAAACTTGTCCTTGCGCAATTTATGCATATAAAATTAGTCACGATACAGGATAAAAAAGAATAAAAAGGATATAGGAGCAATGTTATTTAAATAATAAAATAATAAAAACATTAAGATCATTTAACAGTTAGTGTAATTTAAATGCGGTTTGCAAATCCTTATTATTTAAAATGGCTCGTCACTACGAGTACGAGTATATTATGTCAATTAAAGTTTTTAAACTTAAGAATGAAGAACATTTTGCCATTTGGTTTGGATGTCAAACTAACGTGTTTACACGAATCGTTGGACATTATTGCCATAATAAGCATTAAATTATTAATCGTTTCATCAAACTGCAATCGTTTCGCGTTAGAGAAAGAGTGCAGGCTTGGCTGTTGTGATTTTGCGTGTTGGTGTCCTGATTTTGCGTACTGATGAGTTTAGGGTTATAGCCTCTTAGTTCACGACAGTATGATGCAGTAATTTGTAATAAGCGCAAGCGCCAACACCAACCAGTTATCTTGCGTACTGTACCTTATCTATAGATAGGTACCATGATGATCTCGAGGAGATTGTGTACCCACCTTCGTTGGCGGGGCGAACAATGTGGATGCGGCTTGGCGCCCGCTCTGTGCCCCCGACGAATACCGATGTTTAGTCGAGACATGTTTCCAGTCTTAGGCTTCTGGTTTTAGCAGTCTCGGATACTTTAATCATTTTATTCATTGTAGTAGCGCTAATTTTTGTGCAGTTGGCTGCGATAAAGTATGGAGCACAGAGCTCATTACGGTCTCTTTGTCTAAACCTAATGTGGCTATATGTTGCAGACGAATACCTAATTGTAGCGATAATTTCTTTGCAAGCGCAGGTTCAATCGGACCGTCTAGCCCAATGGGTTCCTAAGGGTCGTCTTTAAGCTCCTCCATGTTAGCAGTTTCTCATTGGGCTAATCTAAAAAGTTTTTTTTTATAAACAGGGTAATTCAAAATCTTATTACAGAAAACAAAGAAATAATTATGAATTCACTCTTTAGTATCGAATATTATTTGAAAGGTATGTGTTCAGTTCCTTGGAAATGAAGTAACCTAACTTTATTCTTTATTACGAGTATCGGACATTATTTGAAAGGTGTGTGTTCAGTTCCTTCAAAAAGAACGCACCTTACTTTATTAAAAACACAACGTGTTTTTAATAAAGTAAGGTTCGTTCTTTGCGTTATGCTACATTCACCTTGAAAAGAACGAACCTATTTCTTTTTTAATTAATTTATTTCCTACCTTCCAGTTGATCCAAGTCCAGCGACGAATCACCCGGAGGCTTGTTTGACATTCTATCTTTGCACCTTCAGGCAGGCCGTAATTTGTACTCTACTTTCCTGATTTAAGTATCACTTGCTTTTCGGCATACTAACAGCAAATTTACTGATAGTAAAACACTATATTAAACAAAATTGAACACAATTTAAAAATAAAGAGAGTTGTTGAGTGGTGAAGCACTAAACTGTGAATGACATGTCGGGAGTGGAGTATGTGGCTGGTCCGCGGGAGTGGGGTTCTACCCACTCTCGTGACCATTGAATTTATAATTTTTTGATTCTCAACTTTAGTGCGAGTGGCGAATCCTAGGCGTGATTCTACATGTGTTTAATAAGTTCCAGATACTAATCTAGAGGAGGAAGCACGAAGTATAATATACAAGTACAGGCCATCACTGGTTCTTAGCTGTAAATTAGCCTCTCTGAATATTTAACACAACACACGGCCCTTAGATGGTCCTTAGCCACCTACTAGGGTGGTCAGAAAAGTTTCCGACCTCAACGTGAAGATGGCAGCACTCACCAATAAAGCTAGTGAATGTAGTTGTGTATCTTTTCAAATTTACACACCAATTTTAGCCATTTTGAACGCGTAGTTGTTATTTGACAGTCGTTTGAGTGAGTCGATGTGAGTGTTTTTGGGAAAATGGAAAAAATTGAGTATCGAGTTGTCATTAAGTTTTTGTTTTTGAAAGGCAATACGCCTACGAAAATCAAAGATGAGTTGGACTCTGTATATGGGGACTCTGCACCATTATTTAGCATAGTGAAATTTTGGCTAGCTGAATTTAAATGTGGACGTGAGAGCTTGGTAGATGATGAACGTTTGGGACGTCCAAATACCGCAAGTACTGACAATAACATCGCTAAATTTCACCAAATGGTGCTAGATAACCACCGAATTAAAGTGAGAGAGAGTATATTAAATCAAGATTTAGGCATGAGAAAGCTGTCAGCGCGTTGGGTGTCGCGTTTGCTCACGTTAGACCAAATACGTGTTCGATGAATATTTCCAACGTTATGTTGGCGCAGTTTAGGTGCAATAAATCCGAGTTTTGACGCCTATTAATTACTATAGATGAAACTTGGATACACCATTATAAGCCCGAAGCCAAAATATAATCAAAACAGTAGATTTCAAAAGGGGAACCGGATCCAAAACAGTGAAAACTGTTTTTTCGTCTAGGAAAGTGATGGCAACTGTTTTTTTCGATAGTCATGCAGTCATCTTAATTGATTATCTTCAAAAAGAAACCATTACAGGAGCATACTACGGACTATTACTTGACAAATTAAAGGCAGAAATTGCGGATAAACGGCCACATTTGCAGAAAAAGAAAATCCTGTTTCACCATGACAACGCGCCGTTTCACATCTCGGCGGTTGCCATGGCGAAAATCCACGATTTAAGGTTTGATCTGCTCGACCATTCGCCTTATCACCAGATCTGTCGCCATGCAACTTCTTTTGTTCCCGCATCTAAAAATTGCGCTCGAAGGACAGAGATTTTCGTCAAATGAGAAGGCAATCAACTTCGTGAACAATTATTTTGTAGAGAAAAACGCCGAGTACTATTTGAACGGGTTAGAGAGATAGAAGCATCGCTTGGAAAAGTTTGTAGAGTTACAAGAAGACTATGTTGCAAAATAAAAATAAATGAAAGTAAAATTTTCTTGTGTCTTTGTTAGATCGAAAACTTTTCAGACCACCTATATCCATCAACTTTCAACATGGCGTACAGTACCAGAATCCATGAATCCCAAATTTCATTATTCATACATTACACTCCGTCAAAAGTTCACAGCTGAACATAGACCTCTTCAATAGATTACCTCATAGGGGGATATTTGCTACAGTAGCCTCGCTTGGCAAGCGCGAGAGAAGCAAACAGGGAGATGCTACTACTACCCATCCCCTGTTTTATTTCCCTTTGTTGCCCTTTACGTCACCCACGGAATGATGAAATAAAAATTTACCCAGCGTTTTTTCTCACAATATTATTTAAATGCACTACATAATTCAACACAATAGACACCAAACCGATTATTAGTAGAGTATTAAATTTAATTTGCTTGTTTATACGTTCAGCACCGTCAAGTCACAAGCTTGTAATTATCGTCAACATTATAGGATTTGATTCATTGAATATTCTATGTGAAGATTGGTGGGAAGCCAATTGATTGACTTGGAATCTAAATACTTTACACTACAGTGAAATTTCGTTACCAAATCTTATGATTTTATTCGATGACTTAGTTACAAAAATTTTTGAATCATCATCATGACCTAAATATAAATTATTAAAAGATACTAAAAATCCAGTAAAATAAGTACTTTTAATTGTTTCTGCCTCAACGATATTTCAGTTAATGTAATGAAATTCTCCATCGACTACAAAATGTTTTTTGGGCCGTAAACATTGCCACATGCACTCCACCTCACACAAAATAATATTCATAAAGTTAGAATATAGGGCCATTAGCGCTGTAGTGCTGAAATACGAGGCAATTTCAAATTGTCAGAGTTGTTTAAATAAAAGAAACAAATGAGCACATGGTCCACCTAATGGTAAGTGGATGATATACATCTTAGATAGTTACATTAATCCTTGATTATCAAACCAAAATGAGTTATCGCCCCTAAAGACTAATATTAATGGATTGCGCAGTTACCGGTAAAAAGAGTTTCCGGTTCTTTTCACTTACTACACAAATCTAACCAGCAAACGCACCCTATGCACTGATAGGAACTTTAAAATGCATTTTACTATACAAAGGCAAATAAATTAAGAAGACTCCTTTTACTGTTTAACTTGAGTATCTATAGAAGGTTTAAGCCATAATCATTACATAGGGCAAACGGTTGGCAAAGTTATCCTAATTTTCATTAATACTACAGCCTTTCAAAAATTCACCGATAAACAGTTAGCACGCTTGATAGGCTAATTATGTAGATATATATCTTCAAATACCCGAAAGAAGAATACTTTATATACCTACCTTCAAATAATATACCTGCAAAGAGTTTTTTTTACCACGGCGATTGAATGGTTCCATTTTTGTACCAAAGAAATGTGTAGATTTGGAGTATTTTTTACACCGAAAATAGTTATTTAATTAACCTTTCCCACTTCGACGCCTTTTGATTTCGATATGTTTATTATATGCACTCTAATATTTCTCATCATAATTCCCGTCCTTAATTGTATCTATCCTACCTATCCCCAACTGTCATCATCCCCAAATGTGTATTTAAATGTGAAAAATGAAATTTTAGACGTTTCAATCACACCGTTTACTGAAGCATCTAAGCCTAAATATGATTTTAATAAAACCAATTATGAGAAACTAAATGAAACTCTTAATAGCATCGATTGGCGAACACAATTACAATCTAGCCCGGTCCAAGAGGCTTGTGATAACTTTTATAATATAATAAATGATGCTATATGCCAACACGTACCACTTAAGTCCTATCATAATAAATATAAATATCCTGTCTGGTACAGTTCCGCTTTAATAAAAATAATTAAAGAAAAATCAAAAGCACACAAAAAATGGAAACGGTCTGGCAATTTATTAGATTATGACGAGTTTTCATTATTACGTAAACGACAAAATAGGGTTCAAGATGCTTGCTTTGCTATATATACTCAACGTACCGAGGAAGCCATTAAATACAAACCGAGGTTATTCTGGTCATACGTTAAGTCTTTGCGTGGTGGATCGAATTATCCAAAACAATTATCATACCTGGGCAATAAAGTAACGGGTGGTAAAGAAATATGTGATACTTTTAATACTTTTTTCAAAAACGTTTTCGGTGACCCTTCTGATAAAATATTAGAAGAAGGCAATGCCACTTCTACATATGATAATATATCTAAACTGTTTATCCCTACATCCACTATTGAGAAAAGACTTAGACTACTTGATATTTCTAAAGGAGCAGGATGTGACGGCATTCCCCCTTTATTTTGGCGTAACTGTGCTAAAACTTTGTGTGTCCCTATTGCTATCATTTTTAATATGTCTCTTAGCGAAGGTGTATTTCCGGATATCTGGAAAAGAGCACACATTGTTCCTGTACATAAAAAGGGAACTAAAACTAAAATTGAAAATTATAGGGGCATTTCAATTTTAAATACTATTGGCAAAGTTTTTGAGAAAACCATTTATGATGTTATATATCCCGTAATATGTAAGGGACTGCCAAACACTCAACACGGATTTCTAAGGTATCGTTCTACTATCACTAATCTGGCGTGCTTTTCTAACTATGTTTTGTCTAATATGGATGGAGGCGGTCAGGTAGACGTGGTCTACACGGATTTCGAAAAAGCTTTCGACCGTGTGGACCATGTCATTTTACTGAATAAATTACAATTGTTAGGCATACATGGGGATTTACTCAGGTGGATAAAATCCTATTTGAGTAACAGATCCCAGGCTGTTGTAATAGGTGGATACAGATCGGACTTTATCAAAATACCAACAGGCATTCCTCAAGGATCACATCTGGGGCCTTTACTGTATAACGCTTATATTCACGATATTACTACTTGTTTTAAGTTTTCACAACATTTAATGTACGCCGATGACAAAAAAATTTTTTACAATATCCGTACTGAGCAGGACTGTCATCAAATGCAAACTGATTTAACCGCTTTATCAGCTTATTATACTGCTAACAACATAACAATTAATATTGATAAATGCGAATGTATTAGCTTCACACGTAAAAAAAACCCTATTTCATTTTCCTACAATTTTAATGGTATTCCAATACAAAGAACATCTACTGTTAGAGATTTAGGAGTTCATTTTGACAATAAAATGCTTTTATCAGAGCATGTTGACGAAATTGTTAACAAGGCTTTTAAAAATCTTGGATTTGTGATAAGAACTTGCAAGCCTTTTAAAGATATTAGTACCCTTAAAATTATGTATAATGCTTATGTTCGCAGTATATTAGAATATGCCAGTCCAATTTGGTCTCCCCAATACGCTACTTATAAAGATCGTATAGAACGCATACCGGAAAAATTCATCAATTATCTAAATTATCGTTTTTTCAAATCACCACTTCTAACCTATGAAAATACTTGTCAATCTTATAATTTATTGACACTCGAAAACAGACGTAAATTAATGGACGTATGTTTTTTGTATGATATTGTCCGTGGACAGGTAGACTGCCCTGAGTTGGTGGCGAGCATAACATACAACGTACCGTCGCGTCGTGTCCGCCGTCGGCCGCCCCCTTTATTGCATGTGCCGTTTGCTGGCACCAATTATGCACGTAATGCGCCTATAAACCGATTGCTCAGGACATACAATGAGATCTTTAGTGATATAGATCTCTTTGTTTTTAGTAAACCAGCCTTTAAAGCTAAAGCTCTTAAAATTCTAAATGAGGTGCAAAATGAGTAAATCATTTTGATTTGCTTAATCATGATGATCATCATTACAGCCCTTCACAAGTCCACTGCTGAACGTGGACCTCCCCCAGGGAATCCCACAAGGCACGATTCTGAGCCGCATGCGTCCGTCGACTTCCTATATGTCTTACCAGGTCGTTAGTCCATCTAGTAGGACTCCCTACACAAAAATAAATAAATAGTAATGAACATAAATCAACTCTATTATAATATGAAAATGAATTCATACTTTGCATCATTTAGTATAATCATTTCTTACTTGATTGTTGAGTGTAAATTTGACATAAGTGTAACGGTTTAGAAAAATAAATAAATAAACAGGTGTGATATTTCATATTTCATTAAATTAAATTACATAAAAGAATGTTAATATCTGGCTGCATTTAAAAGTTTTGCAGAGAAATAAATAATACAAATATTATTCTACATACACATATACAAAAGTGTAATTAGTATAAACATTTAGTTACATATCTGTGAACATATATATATACAATTGGATTAGTACATACATATTATAATAAATTCAAAGAATAGTTAAATTGTACCGTCCATAATATATTTTG